TTCCTTTATAATTTCTCCAGTGCTGTTTTGTTGAACATAGTGGCCCTTGGGCCAGCTTCTGTGATAGCACTTTTATTTGTGTTTGGGGCCGTGGGTTGTAGGTCCATATTGGAAGCTGCAAACACTATGGGCTGCAGACATCGAGTACTATTTGTGAGCTCACCTCTGACGTTTAATACCAGCGATGTGCTTTGTGAATCCAAATGAGAGAATGTGTTAGAGAAGAAAACCCCAAGGCTTCAAATAGTTGATACATACGAGAACATCCTCCTGAAGTCAGAAATACTGTCTTTTGTTTGGGAATTAATGATGGTGAAATAATAGTGAGACTAATTAACACCTATACAAACAGATGGATTTTCACACTGACAGATTAAAGTTGGGTCTCATGGAGTGGTATCCATTATGACTTTTCTCTGCCATCTTCCCACTATTATGCAGGCCTAATAAAAATACCATCCACTGGTATAAATATGTTCACGTTAATAAATTAGCTAGGTAAAGGATATTCTCATTCTATATGCTCATTTAGTACATTGCATAATTAAAATTCACAGGAGCTTTTATTTTAAAGCATGTGGAACTATTTGCTCGTCCAGGACACTCTGACAGTACTTGCTTTTACGTTGTAAAATATATTCTTCCCAAGATGAGAGTGTTGGCTCTGGCACCTATTACTTCCAAACATTCCACACATTATTTTTCACACAAGAAAGGGCTGGTTACAGCTGTCAGGGACACACCTCCAGAAGCACTATCATTCCCTTAAGTAAACTGGAGCTTGCATCAAACTGTATCATTAGCGATTGGCCAAAAGTTGAAACAAAGATTTTTTATAAATTGCTAATTTTTACTGAAATGTTTAAACCAAATTCCTTCTCCATACTCTTTATTATAACACTTAGTCTTTTAAGCTTAGATCTGCTGGGCTGTCAAAATTACTTTGATGCAAACAACTACCTTAGTCTCAAGCCCCTTTTTATGTTTGTTTCTTAGAATGCAAATCTAGTTTTTATTCATGAAGTCTAAAATCCATAAAAATTTTAGAGCCCTTGTTGAACATACAGTAGCTCCTAATTCACCTATGTATCACCTTAGAGCAAAAGTTTAAACAGTGAGTGTGTGAACCATAATGTTGCACTTTTCCTGCCTAGCGTGTGAAAAAAACAAAAATATGAAACAACACATTTTTAAAAGCACTAATTATAAAAGTAAAAGACTGGAAACAGCTCAAATGACTACCAATAGGGCAGTGGTGAAAAAAAAAAAAAAACTATCATAGGGACAGCCCGGGTGGCTCAGCAGTTTAGCACCCGCCTTCGGCCCAGGGCATGATCCTGGAGACCTGGACGGAGTCCCGCATCAGGCTCCCTGCGTGGAGCCTGCTCCTCCCTCAGCCTGTGTCTCTGCCCCCCTCTGTCTCTCTCTCTCTCTCATATTAATGAATAAATAAAATCTTCAAAAAAAAACCCTATCATAGGGATCCCTGGGTGGCGCAGCCGTTTGGCGCCTGCCTTTGGCCCAGGGCGCGATCCTGGAGACCCGGGATCGAGTCCCACGTCGGGCTCCTGGTGCATGGAGCCTGCTTCTCCCTCTGCCTGTGTCTCTGCCTCTCTCTCTCTCTCTCTCTGTGACTTTCATAAATAAATAAAAATTTTTAAAAAAACCCTATCATAAACCCATAAAATAGATAACTATGCAACTGTAAAGTAGAATAGGGAAGTCTCTATGCTGGGGTGGAGTGATATTGAAGACATAATGTGTAGGATGTTGATTTTGTGTAAGAAAGAAGAGACTATGTATACTTATATTTTCAGAAAGAAACAAAGGAAGGATTAAAACCAAAACCTAATAAAAAGTTACCTATGTGCTGGGGGAAGAACTGAGAGAATGGGATAGGGAAGGACACCTAGATTTCTCTGAATGATGTTTTACCTTTTGACTTTAGAATCAAGTGTTTTATGCAACTAAAAAACAAATATTAAAGACAAATAACAAGTGTTGTCAAGGACATGGAGAAAAAGGAACCCTCGTGCACTGTTGGTGGGAATGTAAGTTAGTGCAGCCACTGTGAAAACACAGTGTGGAGGTTCCTTAAAAAATCAAAAAATTGAAATACCACATGATCCAGTAATTCTGTTTACCCAAAGAAAACAAAAATACAAATTCAAAAAGATATATGCACCCCTGGGTCTATTGCAGCATTATTGCAACAGCCAAGATACGGAAGCAACCCAAGTGTCCGCTGATAGGTGAATGGGTAAAGATTTGGTGTGTACGTGCGCGCGCACACACACGGGAAATTACACAGCTACAGAAAACATTTGCAGCAACATGGATGGACCTACTGACTATTATGCTAAATGAAATAAGTCTGACAGAAAAAGGAAAATGCCATATGATTTCACTTATATGTAGAATCTAAAAGAACAAAGCAAGTGAATAACAAAAAAGCAGAATCAGATCTACCAATATGGAGAATAAACTGACAGTTGCCAGAGGGACAAAGGCGTGGGAGACAAGTGAAGGGGAGTAAGAGGTAGAGGCTTCCAGTATCGGAATGATAAGTCATGGGAACAGAAGGTACAGTGTTGGGCATACACTCGGTGGTATCGTCATAGCGTTTTATGGTGATAGTAACTACACCTGTGGTGAGCGTAGCAAAACATTGCAGCTGTTAAATCACTATGTTGTATACCAAAAACTATTCATATTAATCACAAGGACAATAAAACAAAAAGCAAGAATGAACTGAAGCAAATTGACCCTAGCTGTATGTCAAGTTGGTAGCACAGTCACACGGAGAATGGTCTCGGGTGACTTCAGAGTATAGTGTTTTGGCAGTTCGTCAGTGGAATAATTCCTGAGATCAACAAGGATCATAAAGAAATTTTAAACTATATTGATTCATCTTGTTAATAGTGATGTTTATCTTATGATTTTGAAACTAATATATATTCAACTCTCATATTAAGAGAAACAACTGAGTACTTTTGATCGTATCATTAAGATTTAAGGTTTTTTTTTAAGATTTTATTTATTCACAAGAGACAGAGAGAGAGAGAGAGGCAGAGACGCAGGCAGAGGGAGAAGCAGGCTCCCTGCGGGGACCCCCATGCGGGACTCGATCCCGGGACCCCGGGGTCACGCCCTGGGCCAAAGACAGATGCTCAACCCCTGAGCCAACCAGGGGTCCCAAGACTTAAGACTTTAAAGTGAGAAAAAAGATGTACAAATATAAAACCAAAGACTTTAAAAGCCCTCTAGTCCTTAATTTGGTAGTATCAGCATGAATTCATATTAATGTTTTTCTTCTTAAAATGTGCATTACCTACCCCATCCATTGAGAAGGCAGAGAAACAGTGACAATCCAGGAGCAGTGAACACCCCTGGTGCCCAAGTTACCGTCTTTAAATATCATTCCTACTAAAAGGAATCCACGCCCTTTGAAGAAATGGCTAATTTCAGGTCTCGGGCAGGAACTGTACAAGACGAGCCTGGACCATCCTGTCACCCACCCCTTAACTATAAGGGATCATATCAAAAGGATGCAAGACCATCTTCAGGAGGTCCCCACTACCCAAAGGTAGAATAATAAAGGTAGTCATTACATGGAGTAAAATATATTAAGTATATAAATATTCAGGAACTGATAATGCTCTCTTTGGATCAAAATTGACAAGTAAAGGGAAAAATTAAACATTTATTCTGCTTTCGCTGTACAGACCATATTTCACAGTCAGTAAGGGAAGTTCTTCGCTACGGAGGAATCAGAGCTAACAAAAGCAGGAAGAATAATAGAATTAGAAAAATCCTCATTTTGCAACATCTCATGAAATAATGGATCTAATCAACAAACATTAATGTCTGCTAAAAATATTAAGTGGAAGGTTGATGAGGATCATTATAATGGGGTCAGGCTGACGTCACCTTGGACCCACTGATCAGTCTTAACATCTTTAAAATTGGGAGAAACACATCCCAATACAGTATAATAGGAATTACACAGCATCACCTGTGATGTATCCTTGACCCAAAGGAATTGAACCTGAATCTTAGCCAGCCTCTAGATCTAACTACTGGTTTATACAAAATATGAGGAATACAATAACGTGTTGAATGACGTCATGAGAATAAAATCAGCCAGATCTAGAATGTAGAAAGTTTTCAAGTATAAACGATCTATTCTCTTCAGTAAATAAATAGTAACAAAAGGGAAGGACTGAAGACTGTCAGTGATGAAAAGGGATTCAAGACACGTATCAACCAAGTCTAATGTGTGCACCTTATCTGGATCCTGTTTCAAAGAAATTACTGTAAAAAGACATTTTTTTAACAGTCAGTGAAAATTAAAATGGACTGTATAAAATGATATTACAGTATTATTGATAATATTTTTGGATGTGAAAATGTAGTTTTTACTGTTTGGTGTTTTTAAGCCCTTATCTGAAATGCCTACTAAATATTCAGGGGTAAAAAAACAAACAAACAAACAAACAAATAAATAAATATTTAGGGGTAACACGGCACGACATTTGGGAGTTACTTTTGAGTACTCCAGGTCTACCCCTGAAAATGAAGTGAAGATCAACAAATTAAGTAAGAAGTAAGAGCGTTCTTCTCCAGAAGCTGGGTGACAGGTGCCGATGGATTCGTTGTGCTGTTACTCCTTTGTATATGTTATTTCCATAATAACTTTTGTTTAATTTTTAAAGCCCTCCCACAAGATTAGCCCAGATTAGCTGGGATCATTATAGTGGTGCCTTCTCAGCAATGTTTTATTAGGTTTTAGGTGAGAGCCTTAGTATGTAGGAATGTTGTATTTGTGGATCTCAGGGGGAAAATAGTGTTTTGTTATAGCCTCACTATACCATCTTTTCATCCAGTTAGATTCCAGAAGTCATAAAATTACTTCACAGAAAGAAAGAACCTCGCTTAGAGGAGTGTTGTTAACAAGCTTACGCACCAAAATACACTGACATTATACCCTTTTTTTTTAGACCAAGCCACCCTGGTAGAACAAGTAAAAAGAGTAAAAGAAATTGAAGCCATTGAAAGTGATTCTTTTGTTCAGCAGACATTCAGATCAAGTAAAGAAGTCAAAAAGGTAAGTTTTCACCCAGACATTATGAATAAGCCTCCAGATTCCCACTGAGGAGATGCTTTATTAATGGATTTTACTTAAATGTAAGTGCGTCTTCTAACACATGGATGAAGTAGGGTGAGCGAGTGTCAGCATGTTGGAGAGAGAGAGAGAGAGAGAATGAATCAATGAGAATCAGTTCAAGTTTAACTTGTAAAACATATCTGATGCCATTTTATTTTAAAATTTACTGAGAAGACAAAGTGAAACGTCAACAGCTCTAAAGCAGTAAATATGCATTTTGTGAACATATAGTTTTCAGGTGTCTGCATCTACTTTTTTAAGTTGACATTGGTAGAGAAAAGTTAGAAGAGAGTTTTAACAATCAGATCATTACCCAAATAGTAATATATATCTACATTCTTTGCCCAGATGGGTATTACTTATTCAACTCCAGTAAAAGGAGTTTTGATTGGCATTTTATTTCTGTTGAATATTGCATGTGTTCTTTCAATTATTATCAGGGCCGCCTCTAGGAACCTGCTCCTGTACTTAGAAAAGGCATTCTACTGTGAAATACGCGTCTTCCTCAATACCATACGTGTAATAAAGACATGGTCATTACCACTTCCTTAAAAATACTCTGCATCGGGATCCCTGGGTGGCGCAGCGGTTTGGCGCCTGCCTTTGGCCCAGGGCGCGATCCTGGAGACCCGGGATCGAGTCCCACGTCGGGCTCCCGGTGCATGGAGCCTGCTTCTCCCTCTGCCTGTGTCTCTGCCTCTCTCTTTCTCTGTGTGACTATCATAAATAAATTAAAAATTTTAAAAAATCCATATTTAAAAAAAATACTCTGCATCTGTAAACACATTAGTGACTGTATAGTATCCCGCTGATAAATTTATCATAATTCATTTATTTTTTTCTCTGCTACTAGCTATTTAATTAGCTTGAAGGTATTACATATATGTTCACAAATATTCATTATTATCCCCTTAAGTCAGTGTTTCAAGATGGAGTTATTTGCTTAAGGTTGATATTATTTATTTTCACACGTTCCCAAAGTCTTCCTCCAAAAGCACTGTAGCAGCTCAGATCCTGCCCACAAGCACAGGAGGTGTCTGCCTCTCGCACCCGGCTGGCACCAAGCCATCTACTGACCTGATAGGTGGTCAGTGGAAAATTGACATTTCGTTTGTCTGTTGTATTTGTGTTGTTGCTAGTGATGTAAACATCTTCTCAGCATCCTGGAGACGTGACTTGAGCGTGCACCGTATGCCTGGTGCACAGCACTAGCGGCCTGCTTCGCCTGTGCTCCCTGCCTTCGTTTGCCTCCACGACTCCTAAAAGGTGGTGGAACTGTGAAATGGACAAAGGTCATTCTTGTGGCCTAAAATAACTAATTTACGTTTAAATATTTATTTTCTGAAGTTCACCCTAACTTCCCAGCTGTCACTGGACTCACTTAAGATAAACTAGCATTTTCTTTCTGTGGAAATACGTATTCCTCTCTAGTTAATACAGCAGGTTTTCCTCTAAACAACTTTCTCCCTCTTGATACTAATTATTAATATGATAAACCTATTTTTAAATTCCATTTTTTTCCTCCAAGAGCCTAACAGCTCTTCCAATAAGTAGTAAAACCAGTAACGAGCAAGGAGATTGATCAGAAGTGGACCTGGAATAGTGGAAAGAAGATGGACTTTGGACTCCAGGACATCTGAGCTTTACCAACATTTTTATTTCTCTCCTCTAAAATTAAAACCAAATTACAGTAAGTCTTAGATTTAGCAATTGGGAAGCAGTGGTCAAAAGCTAAAGATGCAGGGTCAGACAGAGGGTCAAGTCTGATTCTGCCATTTGTTGGCCGTGTGTCCTTAAACCACACGATAACCCCGTGGCTCTCTTATCTTAAAAGGAAAGTAGTGTCACTGGCAGAGGTTGTAGGAGTACGAGCAAGGTGGTTTCCATGAAACCGTTGCCGAGTGCCTGGCACTCAGGAAACAGGAGCTGTTACTCCTCTTCCTCTCCCTGCTTCTGTTCCACCTCTGTCTGTACTGGATGCGAAGGGCTGCGTGTGTCCACAGCTTCCTTGAAAGGACGTGGAGATGTAAGGGTTCTCACTTTGGTTGGGTCATAAATTGTTTTATGTAATTTCTTATAATCTATAGACCCTAAAATTCTCACTTGAGGCTTGGTGATCTGTTGTATCACTGAACAAATAGTTGAAAATCACTTCACAGCCCTCCATCGCAGCCTGCTGGTGTAGTATACAGACATCAGCTTTGCCCCACTTTGTTTCAACACAGCACCTGGAAGCATTAAAGCACTAAGCAAATGACGTAAAACAATGTGTCCTAGCCCCACTGTGTTTTTTATATTTTATTAACTTGAAGTGACTAAGATAATAACGGCTACCGTTAATGCTAGACATTTAACATGTATAAGTTATCGAAAATCCCAGTAACCTTTATTTAAAAGTAAGCAAGCTGAGGCTCAGCAAATTTTATAACCCGTGGTCTGAGTGCTAACACATGACAAGAAAGAGCATCCACACAAAATTTATTCCACTCCAGAGCCCATGTTTGTTTTTATTAATCCAGGGTCTCGTAATTGTGAACTCGGTGCCCATTCCCTGTTCAGGTATCTAGAAGGCATGCGTCCACTAACGGGATACGCTAAAAAGAAAAAATAACAACAAAGAAGATGGCATTTACCTGGGTGAAAGTACAGCAGCCTAAGTGTCAGGCATCCAGCACTGGACTTTTATTAGTCACTGCATTTCAAAATGATCAGAAAAGCAGTGATGGGCCAACAGCGAATAAATTTACACCAACTGTAATATAAAACAGAAGGCCAATTTATTAGTTTAGAAAACGATATCCCTTTCCAGTCTCTAAAATGTCTTTGTCTGCAATATAAGGCAGGATGCCCAAGAAGCTGAATTATTTATCAGGAGATTACTTAGCAAAGGGAGGTAAATTATCCTGAGGACCATTTCATCCTGATCACGGGGCGATAGGGGCTTCCCTGATGCACAGCAGAGACCGGCTCTCTTGGGGACTAAATTACTCATGACCCAGGTTGCAGTATCTTTGTCTTCTGGACAGTCCTACATACATTGATGTCAAGTTTGTGCCTCTTGGAAACAAGTCTGTGCTTCTCTCTGCGAACAACCCCTTCCGTTGATAGAGCCTGTCTTGGGCTGTGCAAGTTCCACTGGTTAAGCTCAGGAGCTGCTCCCAGAGCATGGCTGTTCCCGTAGCATATGCTAGACGTCGTGTCTCCGTCAACACGTTGATTTAACAGGTCACCCCTCGGTGGTCATCTCCGGGACAGTGGGCCACCGGACTGCACCTGCCGCGCCGGTTCAGGAACCCACTCGCAGCCTTTCTACACTGCTGTCCCAAACGGGCGCATCTTCAGCCCTGAAGTCGCTGTGGCTGCTCAGAAGGGTAAGGGCCCTAAGCAGCGGGGTCTCCCCTGCCCTCCTGCCAGCGGAGGCAGCCGGTGGCCACACCACTGAGCTGGAGCCTTGCTGGTGGCCGTGCTGGGGGTTGGCAGCCAGACTCTCCTGGGTGTCCTCACTGAGGTCAACAAGAAGCCGTTGCCGATTCTCGCTCGTCGCACGACTTTAGTTACCATTGTCAGAGGACAGCTTGCGGGCTCTGGTCCTGAACTCCGAAACTTTACGTCTCGCAGAAAACGTTCCAGGACGATCAGTAAAGCAGGATGAGCTCCCTGGGCTCTCACAGAATGTTCTCTGCACCAGGTACTGCAGCCCGGCCACCGCAGCGACAGCACAGCACAGGGTGTCCAGGGCCCCCCCAAGCTGGCGTCCGGGCCTCTGCTCCACGGTGGAACCAAACCCGCCTTCGGGGCGCAGGGGTGGGCACGGTACCGCTGGGGGCTGTGAGCCCCGAGGCAGGAGGGAACCCAGAGGGGGGGGGGCAGTGTTGGCTTCAAAATACAGAAGGGAGCTGCCACGGTTCACAGGCATTTCCTCAAGTATCTGTGTGTCCCTCATTACAAGCGCGCGGCGGTGTGTGTATTTTGATATTTACTTGTCAGTAATCCGGCGGGCCACTGGCAAAATGTAATCCCCATTTGGTACAAGGGACAAACCCATTTTACTGTTGCTTGCGTATCGTGCTTAGCGGTTAGCAGCACTCAGTAAAGACTAAATAGATGGATGTCCAGTCCTCAGATACATCATTCTAAGAGGGGATTGACTGGGACGCCCGGTGGCTCCACAGTGGAGTGTCCACCTCTGGCCCAGAGCGTGACCCCGGGGTCCCAGGATCAAGTCCCACGTCGGGCTCCCTGCATGGAGCCTGCTTCTCCCTCTGCCTGTGTCTGTCTCTCTCTGGGTCTCAGGAATAAGTAAATAAGTCTTTTAAATAAATAAATAAATAAATAAATAAATAAATAAATAAATAAATAAATAAATAAATAAATAAATAAATAAAGGAAAGGACTAAATGACTGGTATAGATTTCATTTTCTTTTATTTTTCTTTTTTTTTAATTTTTTTTAAATTTATTTATGATAGTCACACAGAGAGAGAGAGAGAGGCAGAGACACAGGCAGAGGGAGAAGCAGGCTCCATGCACCGGGAGCCCGACGTGGGATTCGATCCCGGGTCTCCAGGATCCCAGGTCTCCTGGGCCAAAGGCAGGCGCCAAACTGCTGCGCCACCCAGGGATCCCAGATTTTATTCAGTAACATCTGTTTTACCCTCGTTCAGAGAAGTGGATATTCAGAAGTGGCTAAATTAAAAGAAAACAGAGGTTCAAAAACTACATATATAGAACCAGTAGGTGCAGAAAAAAAGACTCAGTGGTGGAATTAATCTCCCAGTCGTCTTTGGGTTTATTTTAACTTTCTACTTCTCATCTAGTCCATCTCCTGTTATCCCTGCGGCCTTGCTGCTAATTAGCCACTTCCCTGGCCTCTCCCTTCTCAGGGAGGGAGCTCTTGGAACCGACCCAAGAGAGCACAGCACTGCTGCTTCCGGGCGCAGCCAGGTTACCAGGCCTCGTACCCGCAGCCCTGACACAGTGCCTGGCACCTAGTGGCATTCGGCAAGAAAATGGAGTGACACGCTGACACGTGCCTCAGCCTTTCAGAGATTAACCTCGAGAGCATGCTAAGTGGAGGAAGCCAGTCACAGAAAACAAAACAACACCCTACATAATGTACGATCTTTTATATGAAGTGTCCACAATAGGCAAATCCACAGTGACAGAAAATAGATGAGTGGTTGTGTAGGGATGGGGAGGCGGGGAGAAATGAGGACCAGTGACCGCTAACGGGCATGGGGTCTCAGGGGAGGATGATGAAGATGTTCCGGAGTCGCTTGGGGTGGTTGCAAGACCCCATGGATATGCTAACGTCTGTATAAATTGTGATATGTGAATTATAACTCATTGAAGCTGTTATTTAAAGAGCAAAAACAAAATAACCTTCGAATTTGCTTTTCATCTCTAAAGAGACCAAATGAATGCTGGAGATTTGTCACAAGCTTGTTTTGACTAACAGAATTTAGCTTTGTGAAATAGTTTTTTCTATTGTAAACTCATAAGTACCAATTTCTCAATAAAAATATGCTGGTCATAAAAAAATGATCAATGTGTTCTCCATCTTTTTGTATCTGTTTGCTTGTTTTAGGAAGGATTGTTTCCTATTCAATAACCCAGGGTCTTTTATATATATATATATATTTTTAAGATTTTATTTATTTATTCATGAGAGACACACAGAGAGAGGCAGAGACCCAGGCAGAGGGAGAAGCAGGCTCCCTGCGGGGAACTGGATGCGGGACTCGATCCCGGGACCCTGGGGTCCCGCCCTGAGCCGGAGGCGGACGTGCTCAACTGCTGAGCCCCCCCGGCGTCCCTAACCCAGGGTGTTTTATTTACTAGTATTATCTTAAAGGAGACTAAATGAACAGCTACTATTCAAAATAAAAAGTACTGTTAAAGCACAACTTTAATTGTACATTGGGATCTGATTAATGGATATTCATACATCCCGTTTCAGTCGGTGGAAGCTGGCGAGGTGAAGCACACAGCCGCGGCGTCGGGACCCCCACCCGTAGCCGCCGACCCCCCCAGCAGCGAAAAAGACGTAGACGCTAGCAGCATCCCCACCGCCATCAAGTACCAAGACGACAACTCTCTGGCCCATCCGAATGTAAGATCCCTCCATCCTAAGAATGTCCTCTGAAGTCCCCTTGACCCGAATGAATCTCTGTGCTGCTGAAAAGAATCCCGTGGGAGGAAGTGAATTCTTAGGTTCCCATTTGCCAGAAATAGGGATCTGACTCGCGTCCCTTAGAGCAGTTACATGTTTTTTGTTGTTGTTGTTGTTTTAAAGATATTTATTTATTTATTTATTTATTTATTCATTCATTCATTCATTCATTCATGAGAGACAGAGAGAAAGAGAGAGGCAGAGACCCAGGCAGAGGGAGAAGCAGGCTCCATGCAGGGAGCCCGATGTGGGACTCGATCCTGGGTCCCCAGGATCAGGCCCTGAGTGGAAGACGGGCGCTCACCGCTGGGCCACCCGGCTGCCCCAGTTACATGTTTTTGCATCAGGGATGGCCCACATCAGGTTGTCTGACTTTTAGAAGTATTCTTTCTACGCTTAAGAGAAATAGACCAAAAGAGGAGCTCTGTTTGCTTTTCAGGTCAGGCTCCGAGAGCTCTGAATCTGTCCTGCTAGGTGCTTCCTGAGCCGGGTGGGTCGGGGACGGCGCCCTGAGGTGGTTTCACTGTGCTGTGTCTGAGGAAGGTGTAGGAGAAAACGTCACAAAATACAGCATAGAACTGTTAATGCTGATGTCAGTCCTTTTACTCCAGGACTTTCTGAACATTATTAATTCCAAACAGATTATCTTCAATTGAAAAGTCACCGAAAAGTTAAACAATATCCAGATCTGTGCTAAAAGATGTATCCTACAAAGGTAATTTGTCTTACACGAGATCAGATCCAAGGTATGGCAAACAGTAACATTTTTCCTTCTTCTTTTTCTTATTTCAGTTATTTATTGAGAAAGCCGATGCTGAGGAGAAGTGGTTCAAGAGATTGATTGCCCTCCGACAAGAAAGGCTGATGGGCAGTCCTGTGGCCTAAGTAATTTCATACGGTTGAATTAACAGTAACATTGGAAGTTTAGGTTTTTAAATCCCAGTATTAACTTTTTATTCTTAAAAAGCAGTTAGTTGATTATGTGAAAAGGTAATGTCTTTCATTCATTTCTCAGGTAGGCTTGAATATTTGTTGGTTTGAACTTAAACATTGTGAATATTAAAACTAGTGTAAGTCTAACAATGTGTGAAAATGTCATACTATTAATAAAGCTAATCCTAAAAGTATCAGTAGTAAAATAAATGGTACACGGTAGTGTTTCTGAGTAAAATTTGAAAAATATCAAATTGTCATTTAAGGGCACAGTTTTGATAATCATGCATATGTAAGAATCAAACTATATGCTATCCACGTGAGATTTCATCTTCCATGTATTATGAAACCATTTTTGTGTTGTTTTTTTTGAAACCATTTTTGAATCTTTTATTTACCCTGTTGTAAAAATTTAGGCAGAATAAAAAGCACTCTAAACAATCTGAGCGGAATGGGCATGTTAATCTTAAAGGAAATACATTTCTTGAAAATTAAATAAATCGAAGATCTATTACTTAGAGATAAGCATTTACTAAGTGGTCCTTTTAAAATTGTTAGCAGATCCCAGCTCATTCCTCTAGAAACCTTGTGTTCACGCTGGGCCTCACCAGGTGACCAAATACCCACGATGGGGAAATCGCTTCTGAGAAAGCTGATGCAGCTCTCGCCTCGGCCTTCCCTCCCCATCTGCCTCCTGCCTCCGTGCGCAAGAACCCGGGGATCGGGATCGGGATCGTCACTGGGAGGGCTGGCTGCCACCGCAGGGTAGCTCCCGCTCGCTCTGGAGGGAAACCACTGTGCTCCCTGCTAAACCTGCCAGAGATAGGACTTCGCGCCGCCTCACAGAACCGTCCTCAGCGGCTCACGGGAGCGTCGCCCCGTTGTCTTGCTCCGTTTCGGTCTCTCATTTTGGTCTCTGTGAAGACTGTACCTCAAAATACAAGACCTGAAAAGTTTTTGAGAGAGGATTACCAGTACATGGGACGGTTTAAAGCCATCTTGTTATATTTCTGAAACTACTAAAATTCTAATTCCTGTTAAAGATTTTTAAAAATATAAAGATCCCAGTTGCAAAAGGTAAGGAAAACAGACTGATGACAAAATACTTGTTTGCACACAAACAAGGTTGACATTTTTGACATTCTAAGTAGATCCTAGTGGGTTTTTGTTTTGTTTTCTTTTTTTTTTTTAGCTCTAAATAAACTCAGATTTGTGTGATTTTTAATATAGATATATGCATTTTTACTGACTAAGAAAGGAATTACAATTTTTGAAATACTTTGTATTTCATCTTTTGCATAACTTGTAAACAGTAAAAATACTCTCACTCTTTTGGAAAGTATGTTTTAGTGTCTAAGCACGAATATGGGTTGTCACTGGGACACCAGTCATTCTCCCCAGAACCTGGACTAGGCTTTTTTTCCCCCCTATGCCTGATGTTCCTTACTTTATAACTACTGAAAATTTTGTGATCTACGTTAATTATATTTAACGCCAGTGCTCCTTTGTGGCAAGTAGCCCAAATACAGAAGTTTAAATTACAGTTGCTTTGTATTCTCAAGCTAAATTTTTTACAGAGATAGAGAATGAAGTTATTTTTTTAGGTGACCAAACTTTAATCCCTGCAGGATTCGAGGACTCTTACCCTCCTCCCTGATTTCCAGTATGATTCATTTTCATGTATTACTAACTTCATTTACCTACATTCCTGTTGAAGGCTACAATATTACCACACAAGCCAAATCAAATTTAATGAGAAAGACTTCAGAGAACACCATCAACTGTGTCCCCATACCCGCGCTAAGTGATGCGTCCTGGCCTCTTTAATATCCGACTGTAATGAGTCTAGAAAACACAATCCCTCTCCTGTCACTTGACTAATGGTAACAATTTGGACTTAGATGAGGCCTCAGTGGTGACTTCACACAGAACGGGGAGTGCTGGTGATGTAACTTGGGTTTTCATTTCTGACGAGCTTCTCGGGGAAGTGGAATAAGAACACGGAGTCATTCACCCGCCTTCTTCAGCGTCCTCACCTGTAAAATGACGGGGCCAAGAGTGGACCTGCCTTCCTAGGTTTTTCAGCAAAATAACATAAAAGATTGCCCTTCATAGAAAAAGTACCCTTTGATGCCAAGATAACATTTTGGCTTGCTAGCCCTCGTTGACCATGGAACGAATAGTTGCATGCGTAACGGTGTGAAAAGCTGCGCCCCAACACCACTGTCCTCCATGTGCGTGTGCTGGAGATGCCATGGTCAGCGGATTCCATCCCAGCTTTGTCCCAACCCTGTTTGCCCTGAAGTTAGTGACCTATACCGTCTACTTACTTATGGGATCTCAGGTCTTCTTTAGGCAGATTTACCCACTTGTTCATTAACCTTTTTTTTTTTTTTTTGAATACCTAGTTCGCGCTGGGCACAGTAAGTGTAGTTGGGTATCCACAGGTGAATCTAGTGGGGATCCTGCCTCCAAGAGGTGTAGTTATGAAGCCCAGGTATGTATACGACGTAAGAAACATAATACTTGGTGGCAGAGGAGAGGACATGGTTGCAGTGAAAAAGGAGAAATTACTCCAAGTTAGAAAATTAAAGATTTCATTCTGACGAAGACCTGAAGGATAAGCTGGGCCCTGGAGCCACAAGGACTCACAGCCATCCACCTCCCATCTTCCTGCTACTTGCTCTAAAAGGCTGGGAACTGTCACAGTCTAATCCAGGGAAGACTCGTCTCTAAGAGACCCAAGTGGCCCTGCACCTCAGTCTTAAAAAAAAATCCAGGCACAATTTGAGCATCCTGGTAACCCTTCGACTTTCTCTGACCATTGTCTCTTCCTTTAGTGGAGAATTAGATGAATAAGCCAAGCCGTCCTTTGGCCACTGGCATCAACAGCCTTGTATCACCACCAGGATGACACGAGCTGAGACGTGCAAAGGTGACCAAAAGGGCACTTTCCTTGCCTCCGAGAAAGCGCTGCACCTGCCAGTAAGGCCTTGCCCAGCTCTCTGGATCACCGAGTTCCCGGAGAGTCTTTGTTTTGCTGTTCTGTACTGTTCTAGAAAGCACCACGTTGGACCTGAAAGACGCAGTCCACTTATCTGTGAGTAGATCCTACCCCAAATTTTCCTTTGGTTTGGGCATCCGGTGAAAATCTTCAAGTAAACAAATAAGGTAGTAACAAGCTAGAAATGGAACAAGACCGGTGACATTTCTGATCACTAAACTCTGGATGAATTGATTTGGAATTCTTGTACCCATGTTACTGCTTCCTTCTGCCTTTCCCCCCAAAATTTCTTGTATGAGTGTTCTGGAAGGAATTTTTTTTTAAGATTGATTTATTTATTTGAGAGAGAGAGAGCAGGAGGGAAGGGCCGAGGGAGAAACAGATTCTTTTTATTTTTATGTATTTATTTATTCATGATAGAGAGAGAGAGAGAAGCAGAGACACAGGCAGAGGGAGAAGCAGGCTCCATGCAGGGAGCCCGACGTGGGATCCGATCCCGGGTCTCCAGGATCGCGCCCTGGGCCAAAGGCAGGCGCCAAACCGCTGCGCCACCCAGGGATCCCCGAGAGAGAGAGATTCTTAAGCAGACTTTGTGCTGAGCGGAGAGCCAGCCCTGGGGCTTGACTCAAGACCCTGAGATCATGACCGTGATGACCCTGAGACCACAATCCCGAGCTGAAACCAAGAGTCAGACGCTTAACCAACTGTGCCACCCAGGCGCCCCTACAGAAGGAATTTTACGCCAGTTCTTAGCTAGTACTCAATTGATAACGGTACTTGAATTATTTAGAAAAGGTTCCGATGCCATCCTTTAAATGGAAGTGTGGCTCCTTGGAACTCTGTTATGGAATGAGGAAAAAGCAAATCATCGTCATGAGAAAAAAATTTGAGTCCTTACAGCAGAAGAGTAGAGATCGAGGTAAGAAAGAACACTGGATTCTCATGATCTTCACCTTTTACCATAGGAATGGACATTGATCAATACATTTAACTCTGGTGGGTTTTTTTCTAAATCCAAGAACATGCTCTATTCTCTGTATCTCTAGGTTATTCTCATTACATTTAGCCCTTTCTTGACACAAAGAAAGCTCCCAGTAACTATGTCCTAATGAAAGAAGGATGAATCTGCCTTTGTCAAATGAGCCGTCTGTGTAACAGTCTGGTTAGTCCAATTACTCAGCTATTCGGAGCCAGTACTCCAGTGCACAGTACTCCAGTGCACAGGCCGGCGTGGGTGTGCATACCCAGAGTTGAAGGTGCACACGGCCCCTTCCCGGCAGCCTGAACATGGACACGACCCAGGGTGGGGCGGGTGAACTGGAGAGATGGGGCCTGTACATCCAGCGGATCCGAGCCTCAAAGAGGAAGGGCTGGCGAGGGGAGATGCAACAGTCCAAGAAAGACCAACACCGGCGATGTCACACGTGGAATTTAAGATGCAAAACAGCACGTCTTTGGGGATCCCTGGGTGGTGCAGCGGTTTGGCGCCTGCCTTTGGCCCAGGGCGCGATCCTGGAGACCCGGGATCGAGTCCCACGTCGGGCTCCCGGTGTATGGAGCCTGCTTCTCCCTCTGCCTGTGTCTCTGCCTCTCTCTCTCTCTCTCTGTGACTATCATAAATAAATAAAAAATTTAAAAAAATAAGATGCAAAACAAATGAGTGAAGACTTTAAAAAGAGAGGAGCCAAGACATCCTTGCTGCAGAGGACAGCGCAGCGGCTCGCAGAGGGGGACCAGGTGATGGGGGACCAGGTAACGGAGGAGGACCAGGTGATAGGTGATGGGGGACCAGGTGACGGGGGACCAGGTGATGGGTGATGGGGGACTGGGTGATGGGGGACCAGGTGGCTGGGGGCGGTCCACCCGCCTGTCTGTGTCCTAGAAGAATACTGTCATAAAACTAAAGTGGAACTGAAAACATAATTAAGAAGGAAATGCCTCCCAAATCCAGCACTACGGATGAATGTGTACCGTCGAAGATTTCTAGAGTTTTTTAGACAAATCCTGTAACTGGGTCATGATCCCCGCCAGCGCAGCCCCCCCTCTTCTTCTGCTGTAGTAGGTCTCATTGACCTGGAGAAGGTAATTTATATGATAACCAATTTATTGATAGTCCGAAAAAATACGTTTTCTGTGTATGTGAGGCGAAAATGGAAAGTCCTCTGGAATGATCATCCGCCATAAACACCGTTTTCTCCATGATTAAAATATTTCATTGAAAACCCCAGCGTGGGGATCCCTGGGTGGCGCAGCGGATTGGCGCCTGCCTTTGGCCCAGGGCGCGATTCTGGAGGCCCGGGATCGAGTCCCACATCGGGCTCCCGGTGCATGGAGCCTGCTTCTCTCTCTGCCTGTGTCTCTGCCTCTCTCTCTGTCTCTGTCTCTCATAAATAAATTTAAAAAAAATGTAAAACCTATGGCTCTGGGGCCCCTGGTGGCTCAGCGGTGGGGCACCTGCCTCAGGCCCAGGTCATGACCCCGGGGTCACAGATGCAGGCCCACATCATCCCCCCCAGGGAGCCTGCTGCTCCCTCTGCCTCTGTCTCTGCCCCTCTCTGCGTCTCTCATGGAGAAATAAATAAAATATTTAAAATAAAAAAAAAAAAACTTGTATGGCCTTGCAATTAAAAACAATCCTTCTAAGATGGAAGCAGATTTTTTTCTACATTTCAAATAATAAAAGCATCTAAGCACATGACAGAGGGATGAAGGCATTTCAAGTTCTTAATGTTTTCCAAAATAATCCCTTAACCCCCGGGCAGACGTCTGAAATCATTGGCTACGCAGCGGGACATCCACCCGCAGCTTGAATTCTCCCCAAATCTTATCAAAGATTTAAAAATAACTTTTAAAATAGCACTTGAGACGGTCACATTAAACCGCGTCTGAGAACAGATGACCTCGACAGCATTTCTTAAAGAACGCTCTCCAGCCTCAACTTGTTTCAGGCTCTTGGATTCTAAAATTTTTTCCTTTTTGAGAAGAAGCAAAGACAGTGTTTCTCCGATGCACAAAAGAAACAGAGACAGTCACAAACATCAAAGTGTTGACTCAACAGGAAAATGCTGCCTGTGAAACTTTGGCCCGTAGAGGACAGGCCCCGGGTCTCGGTGACAGTAAGACTCAAAAATAGCTGGATGTTAAATCAATTTTTAAGACTAATCAAGACACTCACAAGAATGATCATAGCAGCTTTATTCTTAAAAGCCAAAAAAAAAAAGAAAAAAGTGGGAGCGAGAGGAGAGAGGAAGGAAAAGGAAGAAAGAAAAGGAAAAACCTGGATCCGTAGCTGAGAACCTGGGGGGGGGGGGATCCCTGTAATAGTTCAGCGGCAGCGGCGGCAAGGGAGGCGGTGCTCTGAGCAGGCTCCCTCCTCCCGGCCGCGGCGGGCTGCTCCCAAGAGCCGGGTCTGGACCCCCAGGGCCGCCCCTGTCCCCGCAGCCGCCCCAATTTCAGGGGTTCACTCGTCCGTGGAGACTTCCTCACCCCCACACTGGAGATCGCTGGACTTCACCGCGTAGTAACGTCTCGTGGAGAAGGCGATCCTGGAAATGAAAGGGGCTCTGGAGGCTTCATCCACCCCGCGGGGCCCAGGCCTGTAGGGTCTGAGTCCGGTCCCTAAAAAATAGATTAGTAACATTTGTTTTTTTACATTGTCATTAAAACTGTGGAGTAAAAGTCTTTTATTAAGTCACATTGTGGAGGTGCCCGGGGCTCAGTCGGCCTTGGGCTCCGTCCGTCCTGGGTCCTGGGTCCCAGTCCTGGGTCCTGGGTCTGGGTCCTGGGTCTGAGTCCTGGGGTCCTGGTCTGAGTCCCAGACGCAGCCTCACCCTGAGACTGCTCTCGCTCTCAAATAAATAAACGGTTTTTATTTTTTTTTTTAAGATTTTATGTATTTCTGCATGAGAGATGCAGAGAGAGGCAGAGGCCTCGGGACCCTGACGCGAGACTCGATCCTGGACCCCGGGGTCATGGCCTGAGCCAGACGCTCCACCACGGAGCCCCCCGGGCGTCCCTGGGGTTCAAGTGACATTGTTGTTGTTTTCCAGGAAAATTAAAACATCTCCTCGTGTGCTGGCATCAAACCGCGGCCTGGTGTTCCCGGGTAGGTTCGGCTGTGGGGGGGGGGGGGCGGGTCGCGGCCAACACCCCCCATCGCCCTCCGCCCAGGCGCCTGGAGCCCGAGGCGGCCTGTGCCTCGACCACCCCCAGCCTGGGCCGCCCCCCGTGGAGGAAGAGGAGCCCCGGCGGCCCCGCACCCGCCAGCAAACAGTGGCTGCTGTGACCCCATTCACAGCCCGACCCGAGGCCCTGCCCCTAACCCTGCTCCGTTGCTCCCTCGTGGGCTCCAGCTGCTCCCCTCTTTCCTCCACTGATCCCCCCCTTTTTTAAGCCTTTGCAACTAGGCCCGAGGTGCCTCGGGATCCCCAGGTGACCCCACGACTAACCTGCACTAACCCGGACCACAGCTTTCATGTTTTCACAACGTGAGCCTGAGAAAAATCCCCATGGGGACGAGGGGGACATTCTCTCACAAGCTGCTTTATTCCACTTGTGGACAAATGCAATACTCTGCTATCACCAGCAGTCTGCCCCGTTTCCTGCCAGGCTGTTTTGGGGGGGAGGAGGGAAAAGAGCAGAGGGAGAGAGAGAGAATCTTAAGCTCCATGACCAGCCGTCGCCAGAGGTCACGACCTGGGCCAAAATCAAGAGTTGGATGTCCCACCAACGGGGCCACCAGGCACCCCTGTTCTTAGTTTTGAAAAAAAAAAAATGTAGCTCTCTTTAGCATCTTGGGTCGTACTATTTTATTTTTTATTTTGGGGGGTCGGGGGGGCTGTACTATTTTAAAGAGGAAATCATTTCCAGTCTTCTAAAACATTTCTCTTGCCTTGAAGCTCATCCAGAAATGCCCGCCATGTACGGGCTCCGTGAACCCCATCCTGAGGCCAGAGGAAAAGAAAATACCCGGGTCCCTGGAGAGGCTGCGCGGGCCTCACTCTGCCCCAGGGCACAGCGTTGTCAGAACAGGAGGCTGCCAGCAGGCTTGGCTGGAGGTAGGGAGGTGGGAGGCCCACAGGATTGAATTCCCAGCTCCCAAAATAACCCCGAGGACTCCTGTCACCTCAGATCAGGGCCTGCGGGCTTCTTCCCCGCTGGAAGAGCGCCAGCTGTCTGCCCGGCCCGGAGGCCCTGCGGAGCCTGGGGGCCCTGCCTGCAGAGGACAGTCCCTAGAAGGGGGCTGCGGAGCCCACTGTACTCCAGGTAGCACACAGGGTGCGCCTTTTTGCATCTCCCTTGACACCCTTATCCTTCTTCTCTTTAACGTCCCCTTTTCTCCTTGCCCTGCACCTGCCTTTAGACTAGGACAAGGCCTCGGGACAGGGTCTTCCAGAGCCTGGTAACAGGAGCAGCACGTCCAAGTCCTTCCAGTGCTGGCTTCTCAATCAGCTCCCTTCTTCGCGTACATTCGTAAAGACCAGTCACCAATGCACAGCGCCGACTCCACACCCTGTTCCCTTGCACGCGGAGGGCTCACACGTAAAAATAATCAAGACACAGCTGTATGAACTAGGGGTGGTGGAAGGGGAGGAGGGCGGGGGTGGGGGTGACTGGGTGACGGGCACGGAGGGGGACACTTGACGGGATGAGCACTGGGTGTTATTCTGTATGTCGGTAAATTGAACACCAATAAAAATTAATTTATAAAAATAATCAAGACACAGCTGTAGAGCCACGGAAAGGGGCGCTTGCTGCAGGCCTGGGCCACAGCCCTCGGGCCCGGGAGTGCGGACACCTCCTGGCATTACAGTGACACTTGTTCCTTGAAACGGAGACTGGAAACAGGACCAAAGAGAGAGCAAGTCGCTCATCTTGCCTTTAAATACCGCGTCCACGCATCACGCAGGCACCCCCGGCTTGGGGAACACGGAACTCCGGACCCACGGGAGGCGAGGGCGTTTGGGAGCCTCCTAGGCCTCATTTCCCCGACGCACGGGGCGTCTGGCCGGTGGCACCTTCGTCCCGGGCGCCGTGCACAGCTGCGGCCGCGACCCGGGCGCCCCGACGCCAGCCGAGCCCGCGGCTCAGGGTGCGGCCAGCGAGGGACCTCGGGCCGCCGCCGCCGCCACCCCCTGACCCGCCTCCGTTTCCCCGAAAACAGCCTTGGGGCCGGAGCCGCGGTCGCGCCGGGGGTGCCCTTCCGCGCCCCTGCAGCCCCGGGCAAACGGCCGCGTCCCCGAGGGCGGCCCGCGCGGGAACCCGCCCCCCGGCCCCCGGCCCCCGGCCCCCCGGCCCCAGCCCTCCGCGGCGTCGGCGGCCGTTGCCATGGCAGCGGCGCATTGTTCCCGCCCCGCCGTGGTGACGTCGGCGGCGGCGGCCAATGGGGGAGCCGCTCGCGCCCCGCCCCGCCCCGCCCGCAGCGGCCCGGCCCGCGGGGGAGGGAGGCGGCTGGGGTCGCGGCCGCGGCGGCGGTGCCCCTGCTCCCGGGTGTCCGCGGCCGCCGCGCGGGCCGAGCCACGATGTTCGGGATGCTGAGCAGCAGCTTCGAGGACGACCCCTTCTTCTCGTGAGTGTCGGGGTCCGGGCCGCCAGGAGCTGCTGCAGGGAACAGGGCGCGTTGCCGCGGGGGAGGGGGCGAGAGGGAACCCCAGTGACTACGGGAGGGGAGGGGAGGGGTGTGGGGGGAGAGAAGATGGGGCGGTGGGAGGGAGGGGGAGGAGGGAGGGGAGAAAAGATGGGGGGAGGTGGGGGGAGGAGGATGGGGGTGGTGGGAGGGAGGGGAGGGGTGTGGGGGGAGAGAAGATGGGGGCGGTGGGAGGGAGGGGGAGGAGGGAGGGGAGAGAAGATGGGGGAGGAGGGAGGGAGGATGGGGGTGGTGGGAGGGAGGGGGAGGAGGGGGAGGGGACGGATGAGAGGGGGAGGAGGGGAGAGAAGATGGGGGCGGTGGGAGGGAGGAGGATGGGGTGGTGGGAGGGAGGGGGAGGGGAGGGGGGAGGAAGGGGCTGGGAAGGGTGTGGGGGTAGCGAAGATGGGGAGAGGGGAGAGGGGAACATAGAGTGTGGGGGGAGGGGAGGGAGGGGAGAGAAGATGGGAAGGTGGGAGGGAGGGGGGGAGAAGGGAAACGCAGAGTGTGGGGGGAGGAGGGAGGGGGATGTGGGAAGGAGGGGGATGGGGCAGGGGAGGGACGGGGGAGCGGGATCTGGGAGCGCGAGGGCGCGGAGGGGCGAGCCGGACCCCCACCCCCCACCCCCATCCCCCACCCCATCCCCACCCCCCACCGGCGCGGGCTGCGGGGTTGGCAGGAGGGGGTCCCCGTGGGGGCCGCGGCCGCCCAGGAGGACCGGCTCCACCACCTGTTTCAGTTCCGAGTGAGAGGCAGGGAACGTCCTCCAAGATGGCAATTGCTCGCCCCGGAGCACATCGTCACGGTTTTTAAGATCCTATTTATTTATCCCTGAGACACACGGAGAGGCGGAGAGGCGGAGCCCCAGGCCGAGGGAGCAGCAGGCCCCGGCAGGGCGCCCCACGGGGACTCGATCCTGGGGCGGGTCAGGCCGGCCGGGGCGGACGCTCGCCCGCTGAGCCGGTCACCCAGGCGTCCTAGGAAACATTTTTAAAACATGATTTTTCACGGTCTGTGTTCCCGAGAGCGCCACAAGGCTGGAGAGCTGTGTCTCACCTGAGGTGCCCCCAGGTTGCCAGGTGCACTATTTGTTTTCTTCGCTGTCGCCAAGGGACTCTTGGCCGCAGAGAGGCGCCTGGGTCAAAAGTTCGGGCAGGGCAGGCCAGGGCAGGGCAGGGCAGGCCAGGGCAGGGCAGGGCAGGGCAGGCCAGGGCAGGCAGGCCAGGGCAGGCCAGGGCAGGGCAGGGCAGGGCAGGGCAGGCCAGGGCAGGGCAGGCCAGGGCAGCGAAGGTGGGCATCCAAGGACCCAGGTGAACGGATGTGCAGCCCGTGCACAGCTCCAGCCTGACGCCTTAGGAAGAGAGCATCCAGAACTTAGTCAGTTTGTAATCCAGTTTTCTTGTGTGTGTCTTTTTTGGGTTTTTTGTTTTTGTTTTTGTTTTTAGTTCTTCCTTTGGAGTTTATATAAAAGTGGTAACGCGATCTAGTTGGAGTCCTAACACTGGGAGATTTGTGAGACTTGGCCTCCGAATATTTCAGTCCATTCTATATAGATCAGATAGATATATTTCTATCTGTGCAACTCGGAAACATTTTTTTAAGTGGTGGACATAGAGAAATACAATGATTAGCATTTCATTTTAAAGGTTGTGAATTACAATTATGGGGTGTGTGGGTTCAGGCAAACGTAGTATGCTGTTTTAGTTGACTTGTTACGAGTTGTTGGGACATTTACAATTGATGCCATTTTAACAAATATGACATTTTGTGCTATATTATGATCTGCTCTTTTGAAAGCCTCTGACAGTAGGGCCTGAATATATCCATAGACTAATTGAGCTGTTGAAATGATTCTTATGTAATTATGACATCACTACAATGGATAATCGTCAAGAAGATTACGATAGATGGCTTTTGAGTTGCATTATGTCCTCAATTATATCAAAAACAAAAACAGCCATGGCCTTAACTAAACTGTGAGTGTATAATTAGTGCCTTCTTTAAAACGGGGAGCAAAAGTGTAACTTAAACTCTTGGTAACTGTCTGAGTAAAGGCAATGAACCCAAGAGTCAGGGCCAGAAATAGTAACAGACCACAAATAGTAGGCACACATCAAAGAGCACCTCCCTGTGCTTAGGATGGACGGACCCGCCACGTGTCAGCCGGACTTCCGTCAAATGCAGGCAGCCATATCCCAAAAACTTAGGATAAAATTATTGTAGTTGACTTTATCGAACAGATTCATGCTTATATTTTCGTTGCTCCACATTTACCTGGAGAGAGTAAACATCCTGCGGTGGGGACGGGGCGGCGGGGGAGGAAGAAAGAGAGTGTGAGTTTCTGTTTATTTCAAGTTATCTGTCACTTGACCCACGCCTTTACCCTAAGCCCAGGCCGAATGAGCGTCCATCACTTAATGTCAGTCCAGCATGAGAAATTCTTAAAGGTTATAGACTCTTTGTCAAATCATTCATTGACCTTAACGCGGAGGGTCGCACGCTCACCCTCGTTGTGTGACTGTCAGGCCTGTTGCTGACAGTACGTGTCACCGGTGCCTTTACCGACTTAGTATCTGACATGTAGAAAGTGCTCAGTGAGTATTGTTCCCGAGAACCTGGTGTCCTTTACACTCTGCGTTGTAGCTAATCTTGTATTTAGTTGATGCTGAAAGCATTTGCGTTCAACATACGCTGTTGTTGATGTTGACACTTTCTTTTTTTTTTTTTTTTATTTATTTATGATAGTCACACACAGAGAGAGAGAGAGAGAGAGGCAGAGACACAGGCAGAGGGAGAAGCAGGCTCCATGCACCGGGAGCCCGACGTGGGATTCGATCCCGGGTCTCCAGGATCGCGCCCTGGGCCAAAGGCAGGCGCCAACCCGCTGCGCCACCCAGGGATCCCGATGTTGACACTTTCTAACTTGAACACCACCATCGTCTAAATAACCGCTAGTTCAGTGTCCAGGATATCGATACAAGCGCACTCTACTAATCTACTGATTATTCCAAAGTGGCAGACGAATACTTTTTGGATATAAAATTAGAATTATTAAATAATTTGAGACTGGTAAAGTACTGTAATCAAATTGTCAGATATTTAAAAGATTTGAGTAAAAAAAAAAACAAAATCTATAGTCTTGAATTTAAATGTTCATTTTCAGCGTTTACCCTAAATGTTGCACCTTAACTGTTTCATCGGAAAATTAAAAGGAAACTTTAGGGATCCCTGGGTGGCGCAGCGGTTTAGCGCCTGCCTTTGGCCCAGGGCGCCATCCTGGAGACCCGGGATCGAATCCCACGTCGGGCTCCCGGTGCATGGAGCCTGCTTCTCCCTCTGCCTGTGTCTCTGCCTCTCTCTCTCTGTGTGTGACTATCATAAATAAATAAAAATTTTTAAAAAAGAATCTTTAAAAAAATTTAAAAAATAAAAGGAAACTTTATAAGTGATATGTTGAAATTTAGTGGGTTTTTAAAAATATTTGGAACTTTTTTTCGCACCTGATGTTGCAGAGCTGAATGAAATTCGGTGAAAGTTGCCATATTAAAAAAAAATGCCATATAGTATACCTTCATATATACCTTTTTAAGTAATTAATGCTTGTAATTTGGTTCAAAACACAAAAGCTAAAAGCTGGCACTTCTGGCACATGGTTTACTCTCAAGGTAAATATTGAGAGTAACTTTCCTCCCCCGCCGCCCCCATCCCCACCCCATTATGGTTACTCTCTATATAGGTAAATGTGGAGCAATGAAATTATAAGCATGAATCTGTTTTATAAAGTTAATTACAATAATTTTATCCTAAATTTTTATGATATGGCTGCTTGCATTTGAAGAAGGCTACAGAGAGTGACGACTGAAAGACCGGCTGACATGTAACCATGGTCCTTTCTATCTTTCCCATTTATATTCACTCAAGAAAAATAGAAATGATACTTATGTATGGACAGGAAAATTAATTTGAGGTTCAAATGATTTTCGTATCCTATATCCTAAAAACATTGATTATTTGTATCTGGTAGAGTCTAAACGTTTCTACTTTGTGCAGAAACATGAACTTTGAATCCTGAGCTACAGAAATAAAAAGTCTGATCATGTGGGTCTACGAAGGATATCTACGTTACCGCGTATGAGCTATTAGATATTAAAGGCTCAGAAGCAGGTCGGCAAATCTGTGAGCCTAATTTTTAATTATACGTCACTAGCCTTTCCTTCAGGGCACCATATGTATGACTAGTCTTTGGTCAAAGAACCCCTGCATATATTCACAAGATACTACTTTTTTCTATTTTGTTGCTTTTAGCAGGAGCTAAAACTTAAATATCTATAATCTTTTTAAATTTAAGAAATGTTTTTATTTTATACTATGGAGGTAGTTGAAGGACACTGGCTTTGACTTACTGACGAGTTGAAAGTGAATATATTCCATGTACAACATGGGCCTTGACTGATATTTTCTTGATTGAGAATACTATCAATAAAGAGGACACAAAATCACCTTTCTAAGTAAATTTTTGTGAGCTATGGGTGTTCAGGGTTACGCCCATCCTTGTTTTCAAGTCTGAAGTCGTCTTCGCCCAGATGACATGGTTTAGTGCTAATTAGTAGCCTGCAGCCTAAACCTCCAATTTTAATCATTTAATAAAGGCAGCTTGAAAGTACTCAGCTAAAATTTAAGGTTTTGATTTTCAGGATCCCATCTTACGCTAAGACACCTCACACCTACTGTGATTTTTAGCACCTAAAAAATTTGTTCTCAGAAATATTGTAATATAGGTATTTCTTATAAATGAACTTTGAATATTTCAGGGCCATATTTGATAGAATGAGGCACTAGGAGCCTTGAAATAACAGATTTCCTAGGGTAGACCTTGGGGCGTCTGTGGTTCCTTAGGGACAAACCACGTAGGGCCCAAGAGACAACGTGATCATGACGCCGTG